TACTGTGACAGGACGAGGCACTTCCTGTCCCAGGTACCTTCTCCTTCCTCCTCTGTGCTACCATCCCCAGCCCAGCCGAGGGACCCCTGTTGGCCAGACAAAGCCATCTACTCACCATTCCGCCCACAATGCCACCTGGGGGACAAAAGAGCCGTGGGTGACATTCCCTCACTCCCTCCCCAGCTGCAAACCCTAAAGCTTCTTCCCACCAGTGGCGGAGGGAGAGGCGAGCTCCATATGGGTGGCTGGGGGCTCACTATCTGGGCCACGATGGCCCCTTCATCAGACCCAACCACTCAAAAGACCACATTTCCCTCATCTCTGTGTCCCTTGCAGCAGTTGCCTGAGGTCAGAGGGTACAGTGGTCAATCTCTGATGCTGTCATCTCTCTCTGCAGATCTCATAAGCGCACGGGAAAGCGGTGGGGCAGTAGCTCCTATCCTTCCCTCCCAGCCCTATTCCGGGCCCAGTCAGCTGCTGGTCAGTGTACTCACCGAAGCTGTGGCCCAGAATGGAGAATTGATTCCATTTCAAGGCTGGAAACACAAGGAGCCAGAAGGTCCGGCCGTGCACAGGCTCAGCCCGCCCTCTCGCTTCTACTCCCCGGGCTCAGGAAATCCCTTCCCAGCGTCTGGGGTGTCCACCCAGGAGACCAGCTTGGGGGACCCACAGGAGGAAGCAAACTCTTCAACTTTCCTAAGATCTCCCGTGAATTGCTGGCAGACCTGGGGCCAGAGCCCAGGCCCCACTCCCAGGCCAGTGCAGCTTCCTGGATCCTACCCCGACTCCAATGCTAAGAGGGGGTATCCCAGAGCAACCCCGTGCCGAAAAATACACTGCTTCTTACCTGCCACAACTCTTCGGATCTCACTCACAAAAGTCTGGTGGTAATATGGGACACCTGGGCTGTAATGGGACGAAAGCCCATGACCTCCGAAATCCATGGCAACATAATAAAAGTCTGAAACAGAGAGAAGCAGGTTGGAGGGCAGGAAGAGGTGTCTGTGCCAGCTGTCTCCCCGCCCTCCTCACTCCCCTGCAGACCTCCCCCCTCACCTTCTTGCCCGCTTTCCCCCTGGACTTCCCTTCAGCCCCAGCCTCACACCTTGCGGGAGAAGAGGGATGAGTCTGTCGAAGGAGTTGGCATTGTTCAGCCAGCCGTGCAGGCAGAGAACTGGAGGGCCCTGCAGGGAGCCCCAGGCTTTGGCTGCGATGTGGCCCCAGGGCACAGCCAGCTTCAGCTCTGAGATCAGACCTGAAAGACAGAGCCCGCTCTTTCATTCCTTCTGTTTCATCCATGAAGCTGGTGCTCCCCGAGCCCCTTATCTCTGCCTGCTGTGCTTGAGCCAGAGGTCGTGTCCAGAGAGACTCAGCTGCGCCCCCAGAAGGTTATGGGGAGAGAGAGCCAGACATGGGTGTGGAGACTCCCAGAGGAGGGAAAGATAAGTTAGGCTGGAAAAACCTGAGGCAGGCCTCACAGCATGTACCCCATTTAAACTGGGGCAGAACCTTCTAGAATGTGCTGGGGTCGGTGCGCTGGTCATGTCCGGACCCTACCACTTGCAGGCTGGGTGACCTTGGACAAAGTACTAAACTGTCTTGAGACTCAGTTTCCTTTCCTGTAAAACCGGAGTAAACAGAGTCAACAGCCAGTTTCCTTAGCCTTTCCCAAGGGCCAGAGGGGTGCCAAAGCCTCACACATGCAACAGGTGGGACCACTGTCACTCTCACTCCACAGAGTGGGAAACTGAGGCACTGGGCGCTGCAGTACATGCCCAAGATCACACTGGGCGACAGGGAGGGAGTGGAAATTTAGGGTAGGTGGTGGGACTCCAGGACCCACCACTGCCCCCAGAGCTCGCAGCCTCCGCTGTCCCTGCCGGGCTGGAGACCTGCGCGCCCCCGACACCCACGCGCACGCTCGGCTAACTCAGGGGCTCCTGGAACCCTGCGAGGCCACATGCGGCCGCGTCCCGGGGCCACCATCTCCCGGCTGGTCGCGCTCTTACGCCCGGGGACTGCCGAGGAAGGAGCTGCGACACCCAGGAGGGCGACGCGGTCCTCGAACCCTCCACTCCATCCCGCCCTCCTCCACAGTCCCAATCAGGTGGGTGGGCAGCAGGGCGCTCGTGCGAGGCCTCCTGGTCCCACTGGAGTCTAAGGAGACCTGGTGCAGCGTTCTCACCCATCGCTCTTTTCCCGCGAATGCGCAGCCGTCACGCCCTCACACCTGGCTCAGTCGCCGGAGGGGAGCGACGCCAGCTCTTCCAGGCGCTGCCTCTAGTCTCTCCCGCTCCGCCCCGCCCCATGCAGGCCACGCCTCCACGCCTCACACCCCGCCTTCACACCGCCCTC